ACCTGACTAGGCTAACGGCACGCATTTTAGATTTTCCGCGACTGACGTGGCTGTCCTCCTTCCCACTTAATCCTCCTGACAATCCGGTGAGGCATCTGAGGCAGAGATATGACAGGCCTGGCCCAAGGCCTTCCACTGAGTTTAATCGCTGTGTGGAGATTAGAACCCAGCCCTCCTGAGCCCTAATCTAGCATTCCAACCATTTTTGTGCAATTTTCTGAATCACAAGGCAGGGCAAGGAGCCGTCCAAGATAACGGGAGCTGCTCAAGCCACCGGAGGTTCCCAGAAGCCTCCAACTTGCCAGTTTCGGAAAGGTTAGTCAAAGCACCCGTCGCCTGTTAATGCACCTTTCACATAATTCTTACTCTGCCGCTCATGTTCAATCCAGGCACGTTTTTTCATTATGGGCTCAAGCGACAGGAAGCCAGATTTTGGTGGAATATCATGAAAAACTTCTGAATTGTTAGAGCAGTACGTCAACAGAACCCATGACCTCAGGTGGTGGTGAGCGCTCTAAGGCTCAAGAGAAATTTGGACCACCCTCTGTCCGATTTAGATTCCTGCCTTGAGCAGGAGGGTTGGACTGGATGATCTTAGGGGCCCCTTTTCCAACTCATTCATTCTAGGATTCCATGAAATACAAAAGCAAATACTCCTGGCAGGTGAGGAGAAGGGTGATCACGTGTCCTCTATTCGGGAGGCTAATCCTCCCTTTGCAGGTCTGCCCGAAATCTTTTTCGAAGGCATCCTCTGCTCATGAGGCTGTCCAGTTCGTGTCCGATTGAACTGGAAAGCCCAACAAAGCAGGGGTTTCTCCGGAGACTGGAAGTGACTCATTCACGGATCTCAGTGCCTGGCTTTCTGTTTTCTCCGCTCGGGTGAGAGGCCACATGAATCCAACGTCCAAGATAAAAAGCACGTACAGTTTCACATCTGTGCCTGGAAAGCAGCCCACAGGGTTTGATCCAAAGTGCTGTTGCCTCTTGTGCTTTTTTTGGGGGGGGCGTGCGTGATCAGGAAGTGGGCCAAGCCAGTGAGGAGAGAGGGTTCGGGTGAGCAACTTAGCTTTCAGGAGGACAGGCTGGGGTTTCTTGGGGGCACCTTCTCGCTGGCCTTTTCTCCGTGTTGCCTTCTTGCTGGAGTTAGATTTCCTGCCTGCCTCCTCGAACTTCCCACTCTCGTCTAGCGCTTTCTGTCGGTGCTGTATCCAAAGCTGGCACCGGGCGGTGGACTGAATAAGGCACAGCAGCCGGGCCCACATGAAACCTGAGCCGGGTGAAGCCGGGGGCGTTCTTGTCAGCCTCTCCCTCAGCCGGGCCCACATGAAACCTGAGCCGGGGGGCGTTCTTGTCAGCCTCTCCCTCGGATGCCATCTGGGA